CAGCGGTTCTCAACCTGTGGGTCACGACACCTCTGGGGTCGAACGACCCTTTCACAGGGGTTGCCTAAGACCGTAGGAGAACACATGACTTCCGATGGCCCTAGGAACCAAGACACCGCTCCTCCGTCCATCTCCAGGCGGGTCCGCCCACGTGCAGATGCGCCCACAGACGACATGAGGACCTGCATGAAAGGGTCGCGGCGTCAGGAAGGTGGAGAACCGCGGCTCTAGACAGAGATGAGAGATGATGGATACTGATTTTATTCCATAAGCCGTGGGGAGTTGGTGCCCATGTGATAGGGCCAGGGTGCAAAGGGCAGAGCAATGTTCCAGAAAGGTGATCTGGTCCATGTATCAGGTGGGCTTTGCTGAGGTGATGGGGCACCCAGATTGGAGGCAGAGAACATAGGCTCGAACCCAGCTCTGCCACTTCTTACCTGAGCCTCACCTTGGCGTGTTCCTATGCCCGAGTTCCAGTCCACTCGTTTCTGAGATGGGTCTGATGATACAAAGCAAAACCCTGGAGCCATTAGCAGAGGACCTGACCCACACCGTTAATGTTATTTGTATTCCTAGGCATGGGGGACACAAACATGAATGTCCCCCCAACTCTACCCTCAAAGTGGCCACATCTAGTGGGAGAGACAGGATGTGAATGCACAATAGGAAAAAGCTCACTAATGCGCTCAGAGTTCTGCTTGAGGCTGGGGGGAGGAGCCTGCCCTTCCTAGGGCCCCTGACCAGGGGCCTGGGGCAGGACACTGGATGTAGATGCCCAGCTGCTTAGCAGGAGCTCCCCAGTGCACACCTGTCCACACGGCTCGGTTGTGCTGCATCAGTCCTCGTGTTGGTTGTCTCAAAAGCTGGACATGATTATTTCCGAGATGCACAGCCAACGTGTGCCACCTCTGTGTGTCCTCAGTGACCCCGACAGCATTACAGCTTATTGTTGTTTATAAATCCCCGTGGAGAATGGTCACTGCACAGGGCTGGCATTCAGCGTGGACGTGCCAGGCATCTGCCGAGTCCCTGACGTCCTCAGGTACTTCAGGTTGAATATAGATATGAGGGAACAGTGTCTTTAAAGCTCAAAGTTCAGGCCATGAGGGCCTTGTGCTTGGGAGGTGGGGCAGGTTTTGGTCTGAAGGCTAATTCCACATTGGGGAGTTGTGCTGTTGGTTAGTTAACCCGTGTGAATATCAGTTCCATTGTTACAATGTGTCAGCGAGATAACCAGAGAGCACAGCAAAATTGTAAAGGAGCGCTTTATTCTCCCCGTGGGCTGCGGAGGGCACAGTCTCCCCTCAGATCAGCAGCCCCGAGTCTTCTTGCTTGTCAGATTTTAAAGACAGAAGCTCCATCCTCCCCTGTCCCCCAGAGGACCCGTACAATAGTGGGCGTGACAGCGATTACAGAAGTCAAAATTAGCATTATTCACCGGGCTCAGGAGTACTGCAAATGTCTGCAAATACTGGTGCTGGAAACTGCAGATGCCTCCAACACGTGGGGCAACTATAATCTCAGGCAAAATTCCTTCACTTCTAGGGGTAATTAACCTATTATTGGAAAAACCTCGAGAAGGGTCCACTGATGATAAAAATGGAGATGTTTAGTGCCTTAGCCAAAAGGCCTGCATGAGAATGTAGTCTAGTCGCCTAGCCTCGGGCCCAGGTCACCATCTATAAAACGGGGTAAATAGTTTCACCCCACTTGTCTAGTCTGTTTTGAGCATGCACTCTGATAGCGCTGTCAAAGCACCCAGACGTCCTATTGCACACAGTGGGAACACAGTATCTACTTTCCCTCCTGTTGATGGTGACAAATGGCAGCTTGAACAGGGACGCGTCATTGCTCCCCGGTGAGCAGTGAGGGTCCGGTCCAGCTGCCTCACCCTGCCTCCGCCGTCCTCAGTCCTCAGCCGTCCTCCCTCTCCCGGCCCGTCAGTGCCTGCTGTGCCCCTTCACTCACGGATGCTGCAGAGACGGACCGACTGCCGCCAGCAGCTAGGCCCTGGGCCGTGAACAAGGACCACACCAAGGACACCTGGTCGCCCAGCGGTGAGCGGGCAGAGGAGGGAACAGGCCACGGGGAGGCGACCGGCTGCAGGGGCACAGCGCACCGCACCCTCTGGTCCGGGTAGAGAGGGGAGTATGACTGAGGCTTGAACCAACGACCTGCCCCGGAAATGGCAGTTGTTGGCCCCAAGAACATATACCTGCCAGAAAGGACCCCTTGTAGGTAACGGCCAAGGAAACAGCCAAATTCATAACCACAGGCCATCAGCCACTGTTTGCAGAGGCCTGTCCACGCGTCAGGGAAAAGCCTTCACTGCGTCCCGCTGAGACAGAACCTTATAAAGGAGTTCCTAGAATCATATTTTGACCAATGGGCTGAGACTTACCCCATCCCCATCCAACCAGAACTGCACAGCTATTCATTTGCATATTCACCAACCAGAGCAGCTCCATAGTGACCAATCAGGATGCATCATTCTGACCAATCAAGACAGTGCCAGTTGGACCATCACCAGGCAGGCACTTGATGTGAGCGGGCCTTGGGTTATCTCGGAGGGGAGGAACCTTCAGTGTCGGTTACCGGCTGCGCTCACTGTTTGCAAGTTGTCTACCTGAATAAACTTGCGTGTGTCGCTGCGCCCCAGACTGGTGCTCCTGTTAGCGTTAGATCGGGGCAGTGGCCTCTTTGTTGACAGAAGCAGTAAAGACCAAGAACGCGTGTGGGCCAGCCCAGCACTGTGCTAAGCACTCCCAGACGTCCATGCCATCGCTGGCTTGCACACGAAGCCTCGCGCAAGTTCTGGGTCCTCCTCCTCTAACCGAGGGGAGCAGGCGAGGCAGGGGGTCTGCTGCCCCTAAGAGGCGAAGCAGGTGAGAAGCGGGCCTCGGAACTCGCGCTCCTACCCGTGACTGTCGCAGCTGGAACCTTGGGGGCCTGGGGTCTGGTGGGGAGAGAAGGCCCCGAGGAGGGAGGCAGAGCACCTGAGGGTGAGAGCTAAGATGAGCTGGGCAGGGAGGGAGAGGTGGGAGGAGAGAACTTTGCACTGAACGCCATTCCCAGTGTTCTGTGCCTCTGCAGACGGCCTCCCTCAGCCAGGGAGTCACCGAGCCCTGAGCCCCGCAGGGCTGCTCCTCGAGCTTTGGCTCACAGCAGTGCGCAGCTCACCCCACCCCAACTGTCTGTGATACAGGACCCCGCAGTTGTTTGCCTGGGGCAGGGCAGAGGGCTGGTTCTCCGAGGTTCTTTCCTGGGGAGGGGGATTGGCTTTTCTGAGCCACGTGGTGCAATCTGAGCAAGTAGTTCCCCCTGGGCCGGTTTACTCCGGTGTTTTTGATCCGCCTGTGGGCTCAGGACTTCACGCAGGGAGAGTGAAGGTTGGGCTGAGAGGCCGAGGGGGCTCCTCCTTCCTGTGTTAACATGTCCTGTGTGGCCGAGTGCCAGGCCCTGTGCTAGGTCTCTCATCCTCCCATCCACGTGGGCACCTCTACAGCCCTCACTGCCAGGATGGACGCCCTCATTTCATCCTGATGGGGAACACTGCACAGGGAGGGCCAGAGACTTGCTCAAGGTCACACAGGAAGAAGGAGCAGAGCTAGAATTTGAGCCCAGGCAAGATCTGCGCTCACGACCAAAGTGCTCCCTGCCAACTTTTCTCCCCCTTACACCCGAGAAAACAGGCTCCGTACGGGACCTGCACTGGGTGACATCTGAGGCCACAGAGTGCTGTGTCTGGGTCCTTATGCCATGCTGCCCCCCCCCCCCCATCTTCCAGCCCTGACACCAGCCGGGCAGAGCAAGGGCAGGGTGTGAGGACAAGGTCAAATTCTGGGGAGGTTGGAAACTGGATGCCAGTTTCCACTACATGGAGTGTGAGCCTAGGAGCCATGTGGCCCTGAGGCCAGAGCAGGTGTGAACTCAGCCAGTGGAAGATGGGAGGCCGGCCGGTTGGGGCCACCCAGAATCAGAGACAGCCCAGGTCCAGGTGGGAGATGGGGAGCAGCCTGGGGGGCTGGGGAGGAAGCCCGGGACAGCGCTCACTGGCTGATTCCTGAAGGCCCCAGATGCCCAGCCCTGTTCTGATGTGGACTGGCCTCCCAGGTTCCATCTGCTTACAAAGGGGGAGAAGCCCCGCCACACTTTGTGCTGCGAAGGTCCTGTCACCTCGCCTTGCACAGCGGACGAGGGAGGATGCTGCCCGGTGCTCGCTGCTCGCTGTGCCCTTGCTCTGCATCCAAGTGGGACAGGGCTGGGGGCTGCTCCCTCCCTGTAGATGGGGGTCCCCGGCAGTTCACGGACAGCCCCGAGGCCGTAGGTTCCCAGCTGACTGCTGTGCTCCGGCCCAGGAGACAGCGCTGGGTGAGGACCCTCCACGTGGCCATACAGAGGTCCCTGCTGTCTTCACTGCTCACGAGTGTTGCATTTTTGAGGAGACAGTGACTCATTTTTACAACCTGTGTCTACAGAGCCAATTTAGCAAATTAATTTTTCTTGTAATAAGTATTCAAAATTTATTAGCTGTTGTCACTGGCGATTTTCCCCTTGTTCTTTGGTTCCACCTTTCAAGACCGGAGGAAAAAGACTGTTTCAGTTCCAGTCCATTTCCCCACCTACCCCTTGTAACATCTCAGAGTGAACTGTCCGTCCTGACCTTGGATGACCAGGTTCGCGTCTGTCCCTCCCAGTCGGAGTGGTTGGAAGTCCTGGCAGGAAGTATGTGGGAAGAAAAATGGGAGGGGGACTTCATTTGCAGCACATCACCACGTCTTCTGAGTCAGTTACTGTCCAGTAACGTCCCTTCCCCTCACCGCGACGGGGACACGTTTGGGTTTCATTTAAAAAACTCTAATCTGTCACGGTCACCTGTCCTGCTGCAATTTAAGGCTTCGGCGGTTTGTGGTAGATAACAGTTGTTACACTTCCTGCGGGCGAGAGGTGACTGATGGTCTGTTACAGTAACGATCACAAAACACAAAAGGAAAAGGCAGGTCTGTGTAGACAGGGGGAGGCCGAGTCAGGCCCCGGTGCCCGGGCGTCCGCGGCCTCCCCCAGAGCTCCGCGTTGGGCCTTTCAGTTTCCCGCATCTTTTCTGACCTTCCCAGAACCAGGCTGGGGCGAAGGGGAGCTGTCCCAGGCAGCAGCCCACCCTGGGCCAGGACCGGTGGCCGAAGTACTTGTGATGGGTACTTCAGGTCACCTGTGTCCTCCCCAGACCCCTGGACAACAGATCGTGCAGGCCTGGAGGAGGGGTGCTTGGCTGGTTTCGGTCCCTGTCGACCACAGCGTGTTGACAGTGACCAGTGGAGCCCACCCCGTCTGAAGACTGTGGATGTGTCGGGAGCCACTGAACTGCTGTTGCGTCTGAGGTCAGAATCCTGGGCTGGAGTCATGGGTCCACCACTTGCTGGCTGGTCGACCACTATTCTCCCAAGCCTCAGTTTTTGCATCTGTAAACCGGAGCTCTTAATAGCACCTCCCTCACAGAGTTGCCGTGAGGCTAGAATAACGTGTCCTTTCCTGGCAGCACTCAGTTAGGGTTATTGTCATTAGGATCATCTTCATCGTTTCTATTCTAAAGAAACCCCGTTGAACGAATGAAGGGCAGAGGAGCCGGGAGGCTGGGCGGAGCTGTAGGCGACTCCCCAGAGCAGCCATCAGGATGGACGGGTGGCTGAAGTCCTCAGGGATGTGCCCACGCCCAGCGTCCCTCGGGGCGTGCCTTCTCCAGATGTGCCCACGCCAGGCCGCCCTCGGGGTGTGCCTTCTCCAGATGTGCCCACACTCAGCTGCCCTCAGGGCGTGCCTTCCCAGATGTGCCCACGCCCAGCGTCCCTCGGGGCGTGCCTTCCAGATGTGCCCACGCCCACCGTCAGAGTCTCTGCAGTGTCGCGCACCTGCTGGAGCTGTTTTCTTGGGCTGCAGTGGAATGGCACCAGCTCTCTGCCAGGCACTGTGGCACCACGTGCTGACCCCACTTCCTGGGTGTGGGTGGAGGTTTCCAGAAGCCCTGTTGCTCTGAGAGGAAGGAGCACGTTCACTTTGGGGCGACTGGGCCAGCAGGCGGTGGGGCGGATCTGCACCCAGGTGACCTGGCTCCAAAGCCCCGCCTTTCTGGCTCCTCCCACCGCAGGCTTCCTGGGGAGCAGTAGGCTGAAGCCTGGGGGATCTCTGCAACCCCTAAGCCAAGGACTGCGGGTCCAGAGTAGGTGAGGCGTGGCGCTGTGGTGACCACACGCCAGCAGGGGGAGCTAGGAGCCTCCTGGTGGCCCAGGCTGGTGCAGGCCTTGAGGTGTAGAGGGGGTGGTGGCCCTCGGCTTCTCTCACGGGTTCAGTGGACAAGGCAGCCTGGGGCGGTGGCAAGAAGCAGACTTCGAACTCGGGAGAACCTGTGTTCGTGCCTTGGTGTGATTGGCCGTGTGCCCTGGGATATGTCCTTTTCTATTTCTGTGCCTCGGTTATCTCCATCTGATAAATGGGGGTGATGAGACGCAAGTCGGTGGAGAAAGGGCCTGTGACCTGCCTAGTGCCTCACCCGATCAGCAGGCGAGCATCCTGCCGGGATGTGCGGAGTATTGCGAGGGAGCCGGGGCCTAGGGCGCCCTCCCCACCTCTAGCTCCGACTGTCTGAGGGACCGTGGAGTCCTCTCTGCTGTCTGGGCCTCTGTTTTCCTAGGCTACGGTGAGAGGGTCGGGCCGGGTCCTCTGAGGGCCCAGCCCCGGGAAGGGCGGCATCAGCGGTGGAGGAGCCGGGCGTCCGGGCCGGGTGGAGGGAGGCCCGTGGCTCCGTGGCCTCAGGCAGCTGCCCACCCTGAGCTTCAGTGAGCCCCTCTGCGCGTGAGCGTGGCCCCCTGCAGGCCGGACGCCAGGTGACCTGGCTGAGATTGCCAGCGGGCAGCCTGGGCACAGGGTGTCCTCGGGACTGGTCGCAGCAGGACAGTGTTCCGGGCTGTGGGCCGTGGGAGGGGAGGGTGGTCATGGGCCTGTGCCGCGCTGTGGGGTCCGCGAATGTTTCTTGCAAGAGCCCGTGGGTCCTTGAGGCCTGTGGGCTCTGGGCTGTCACAACTCTCCACCTGTCCCCTAGTCGCCTGGAAGCAGCCTAGACTGTCCACAAAGAGCAGGCTCTTCTCTTGCAGCATCGCTCACAAAGCGGGCGGCCGACGGCCTCCTGCGTCAGCTCCCTGAGTCCCGGCTGGACACGGTCCCGGGCCAGGTGCATGGGTCTGCCCCGGGCGCGCGTCTTACTGCGACTTCCAGAAACCAAGCACTTCTACACTCGTGATCGAATTTTCACAAATATGCCATTTTAGAGAAGAATCAGCTGGGGTACTGGTTGAAGACTGCAGCCCCAGATGGAGGGGAAGGAAGGGATGGGCTTGTCACTGTCGGATCCTGCCTCCAGTTCCTCCCGCGACCCTGAGGTGCCCCCTCCTGCCTGGACGCTTGCTCTGGGTCGGGCTTGGGGGGAGAGTGAGCCGCCCTGCCTGCCGACCTCTCTCTGTGCTGATGGGGAAGCGCCCGGTCAGATCAGCTTTATGGCTCCTAGTTCCCGTGATGCTGCTCGGAGGAAAACGAGACATCACTGTAGAGGGAAAGACCCTTTAATTAAATTACCGGGAAATTAGGAGGATTGAGTGATTGAAAGCAGAGGGGGATGCGGAGGCCGGGCCGCTCTCTGTGGATTAATGAAGAAGCCGCTGGGCTCCCTGCTCCCTGCTCCCCACGACGGGGACCTTGGACACCGGAGGCCTGGCCCCAGGAACATCGAGCAGAGCAGACCCGTGGTGAGGGTTCTCAGCTCCACAGCGGCCACGCCGCTCGGCCGCCCCTCCTCCCGCTCCGAGGGCCCTCCTGTGAGGGTCCTGCCGACACTGATGGATGTTTGCAGAAGGGCCCGTCTTAATTAAGTTGGATGATCTTTCTGGAGCTTGCAAAAGCAATTAACGTTTTCTGCCTCAGCCAGAGGTGGGGGTTCGGTTGGTTCAGCTGCCCCTCCTGCTGAGGCTGAGAAATGTCCTGAAATAAAGGCTCTGTTGCTCACCCCCGGCTCCCTTGGTGTGACCCCCAGCCCGCCGCTGATCCGCCCACCCCCGGCTCCCTCGGTGTGACCCCCAGCCCACCGCTGATCCGTCCACCCCCGGCTCCCTCGGTGTGACCCCCAGCCCACCACTGATCTGTCCACTTCCAGCTCCCTCGGTGTGACCCCCAGCCCGCCGCTGATCTGTCCACTTCCAGCTCCCTCGGTGTGATCCCCAGCCCACCGCTGATCCGCCCACCCCCGGCTCCCTCGGTGTGACCCCCAGCCCACCGCTGATCCGCCCACCCCCGGCTCCCTCGGTGTGACCCCCAGCCCGCCGCTGATCCGCCCACCCCCGGCTCCCTCGGTGTGACCCCCAGCCCACCGCTGATCCGCCCACCCCCGGCTCCCTCGGTATGACCCCCAGCCCGCCGCTGATCCGCCCACCCCCGGCTCCCTCGGTGTCACCCCCAGCCCGCCGCTGATCTGTCTACTTCCAGCTCCCATCACAGTGAAGCGAGAACTTTGACAAAGCCTTTGGGACTCTGTTAGAACAAGGATGTGCTCCTCATGGCCGTGCACCCTCCTCTCCTCCAAGTCCTTCCTCCTCAGGACACCTTCCTGAGTGTTCCCAGCAGGACATCCTGTCCACGTCTGGGCCAGCACAGCCTCGCATGGAGCACGTGCTGCTGTCCCCTCTGGAGGAGACACAGCTTCCCCAGGATGTGGTGGCCTCCCTGCACCCAAGCACTGGCTGTGACAACACCGAGTGATAAACAAGGGGCTTCCAAGGGCTGTGGGGCACCAGTGAGGGAGCCCCACCCAGCTTCGAGGCTGAGCTCCTCGGACTGCCGGGCATTCTGAAGCCCAGTCCTCCCAGCTGTCCAGGCCTTAGCCAGAGGAAGGACGTGGCTTGTCCCAAGGCCCAGAGGCCAGTGGGGGCATGGCCTGGGGGACAAGACCCCTGCGGAAGACACAGGAAGGAGTCGGACAGGAGAGGTCGGGAAGGGAGAAGGGAAGGCGTGGGGGAGGGGAGCACATGAGCTCCGTGCCTGGGGGTGCAGTTGGCCTGCATGCTGGCCTCTCGCCGGGGTGGTGACCCGGGCCTCGTGAGTGGGGGCAGCCCTCAGACGCCACGTGGAGGGGCCCTGCCTGTGGCTCCCCTCCGAGGGCCGGCCCGGCTCATGGCTGAGGAGGGTGAGGGATGAGATGACACCGTCTGGGCCTGGCTCACGGCTGAGGAGGGTGAGGGATGGGACGACACCGTCTGGGCCTGGCTCACGGCTGAGGAGGGTGAGGGATGGGATGACGCCATCTGGGCCTGGCTCACGGCTGAGGAGGGTGAGGGATGGGACGACACCGTCTGGGCCCGGCCTCCATTCGCTGCGGCTGCGCTGAGGCTCCAGCCCCACTTGAGGGGCTTCCCTGGGCGCTGCAGCCACTGCACCAGTGTGGGGGGGGGGCCCGAGTCCCGTGTCCCCTCCTCCCCGTGGGGACTGCGTGGCCACCACCACGGTAATGTGTTGGGCCACTGTGAGGACTGACGCAGGGCAGGGATGGGAGAGCTGTCCTGAGACCCTTTGCAGCCGAGGACAAGGAAGGGCCTGCAATGGATGAGGACAGACTGCACCAGGACCTCGGTGGGGCAGGACGGGGACAGTCAGCCAGGGTCTCTTACAAGACTGGGACATCCCTGAGGCCAGTCACAGGTGGGACTCGCACCGATAGGCTGCTGCGGGGCAGGGGCCACGGGGACTGAGGCCTGCGTCCCGGACATCGAGGGGCAGCGTGAGGCAGGGGACAGTGGGAGGGAGGATAGGTCACCACACTGAGCCCGTCGGATCTGGGGAAGGAAAGGCCTGTCGGAGAACGTCAGCATCTGTCACGGGCTCGTCAGACGCCGCGCGATGTGGCAGCCAGGCGCGTCTGGTCCCAGGCGGGGAGAGGGCCGGCGGTCCCCAGAGGGCCTGTGACGGACGGGGAGCAGGTGCCCAGCTGGCTCCGGCCCCTTCACTTAGCTGCAGCGTGAACTGTCAATGGGTGGCGAGTGTGCACACACGCACGCTGGCTGTCACTCTGTCCTGTGATGGTAACAGTGCATTTGGTCAGGGTGCAGGCCACTGAGGTGACTGTCATTTTGCCGTAATATTTGCTGAAGACACGGGCACGTCCGCACTGGGCGCTCAGCCGCCCGTGGAGCCCTCTCCCCCCACCCCGCACCTCTTCTCCGTCTGCCCCTCGTTCCAGCCATTCTTCTAGCTGAAGGGAGCGTCCCGCCACCCCCCTCTCTGGTGTGCCTGTCCCCCTGTGCCCCAGCCGCTTCACCTGAGCCTGGGACGAGCCCCGCCCCCCCTCCCCCCCGGGCCAGGAACTGGGTTTATAGTTCCTGATGCGCCATCAGGGAAGTAGAACAGAGAAAGGCAGGAGGGTCACAAAATAACGAAGGACATACAAATAGGGGTGGGGGTGCCCACTGTTCTGGAGGCAAAAATCCCAGAAAGTCTCCAGCATTTACAGCTGCTTCTGACGGAAGCTGGGGGCCAGCAGTCCCCACGTGCCGGTTGCCTCTCTAGTAAAACCTCCCTCTGCGGGCGCGGACGCCCTCCAGACGGCAGGCAGCCGGGTACCGAGGCTGCTCGTCCCTTGGGCCCTGGGTCTTCGCACCCGCCGCTGCCTCCCCGGGGGCTCCATTGCCCCCTCTTCCTCCTAAAATCCCACCTGCCTCGGGGGTCTCTGTCGGACCCCGCCTGCTCCACGAGGTCTTCCTCGTTGCCCCAATGGGGTATGTTTTTTGGGGTTCCCAGAGCCACCATTCCATTTTCATTTCTTAAAAAAATATTTTTAAATTTATTTTTTAATTACAGTTGACATACTATTAGTTTCAAGTGTGTAAAATAGTGATTAGACTTTTATGTACCCTGTGCAATGATCCCCCGCATGAGCCGAGTACCCACCGGGCACCCTCCATAATCATCAATGTTATTGACGGTGTTCCCTCTGCTGCACTGTACCTCCCGTGACTGTCTTATAATCGGCAATTTGTGCTTCTTAATCTTGTCACCCAGCTCCCAACCCCACCCCACCTGGCGACCGTCAGTTTGTTCTCTATACTCTGAGCTTGTTTGTTTGTTTACTTTGTTTTTTAGATCCCACATATAAGTGGAATCACAGGGTATTTATCTTCCTTTGTCTGGCTTATTTCACTGAGCATTATACCCTCCAGGTCCATCCATGCTCTCACCAGCGGTGAGATTCCCTTCCACTGTAGGGCCAAGTACTATTGCACTGTACACCTGTGCCTTTCTTTCTTCTTCTTCTTTTTTTTTAATCCTCACCCGAGGACATTCTTCCATTTTTTGTTCAGATAGAGTGGGAGGGAGAGAGAGAGAGAAACATCGATGTGAAGGGACACATCGAGTGGCTGCCACCCGCACGACCAACCAGGGCTGGGGACAAACTGCAACCGAGGTACGTGCCCTTAGCGGGAACCAAACCCGGGTCTCTCTGGACCGCTGGCTGACTCTCTGACCGCTGAGCCAGACCGGCCGGGGCCACAGAGCATTTCTTCATCCACTCATCAAGTGAGGGGCACTCGGGTGCTGCCCCGTCTTGGCTTTGTAAGCAACGCTGCAGTGAACATAGGAATGCGTGCATCTTTGGTAACTAGTGTTGGGATTTCTCCGGGTAAACACCCAGAAGTGGAATTGCTGGGTCACAGTGGTTCTATGTTTAATGTTCGAGGAGCCTCCGTACTGTTTGCCACGTGGCGGCACCAGCTTCAGCCCCCCAGCAGTACACAGGGGTTCCTTTTCTCCTACCCAGCTTGTGGATGTGTTGGTGACTTTGAGCTTCACAGAGAAGGCATCCCGGGTCCTCAGAGCAGTGCCCGCCTCCGCTTCATGTCCCGGCTGGTAGAGTAGATGCCTGAAGAGACCAGGAGTGACACCCAAGGGCACGTGCTCCGGAAATGCCCCCAGGAGGACGGACCAGACTAGAGGTAGGTGCACAGCCGAGGGCCAGCGCCCTGGGGACGGGAGGGCTCCTCTGCCCACAGCTCATCATCCACCTCTGCTGTTTTCCTCGGCTCGAAGGACTCTGGTACTTATTCGGCCTCACTCAGTAAAGCGTCCCAGTTTTGTCCTTCTCGCCATCCACCTGCTCCCCCCAGGTCGGCGTGTAGTGCTTGAGGTCTCCACGACCTTGTGGAGACAGGGCAGGGGGTCTGCATGTGGCGAGGATGGCTGAGTTGAACCCCAGCCGCCTCTGCAGGCAGGTGGGTACCCCTGGGTTTGGCCAGAGGTGGCCGGTAGTCTTAATGTTCTCGGGGTCACCTATACCTCTCTGGATGTTCACATTTCCCTGTGGCCCCCTGACCTCACACCCCCAAAGGCCAGAGAGATAAGCTTCTGTTTCCCTCTTCCTCTCCAGGGGGAACAACTCTCTGTCCCTCTCTCCCGAGTGCAGAGCAAGAGGCCAGCATAGCCCATGACTGAGGCCGCAGGGGAGGGTGCAGGCTGCCCAGCCCTGGTCCCAGCCCAGCCTGACACTGCAGGGGAGCGAAGGGAGCGAGAGTCCTGGAGCTGGCCAGGCCTCCGTCCGTCCGTCCTGCTGGGCCCCTCGGCCAGGCCCCGTGCCAGCACCGTGCCTGTCTCTGCTCCTGTGTGACCCGGACAGGCGGGTGCGCGGGACTTCAGGGCCCTGAAGGTGCAGGGTGGTTGCCTGTGCGAAGGGCCGGGCCCCCGGTAGGAGCTGAGTCACCCGCCATAATTTTCTCTGGATTTCACTTCCTCAGCTAAAAGTGGGGAAGAATTGCCCTGAAAGATGACCGTGAAATTTAATTGGGATGATAAATTGAAATTGAAATCGTGATTTTGAAGAGATTATCTGCACTCCCATATTCTTTATAGCGTTATTCACGAGAGCTAAGATGTGGAAACAATGTAACATTGACAGGCAAATGGATAAAGAGGTCTCCCAGCCGGGTAGGTGTGGCTCAGCGAACTGAGCTTCGTCCCGGGGACTGAGAGGTCCCCTTTCAATTCCCCATCAGGGCACATGTCCAGGTTGTGGGCTCGTTCCCCAGGAGGGGGTGTGCAGGAGGCAGCCGATCGATGTATCTCTCTCACATTGATGTTTCTCTCTCTCCCTCTCTCTCTAAAAATATCAATAAAAATGTAATTTTAAAAAACAAAGAGGTCCCCAGCTAAGCTCGGACAGCAGATGATGGCCATGCCTGCCACACCCCACTCCTAGGGTGGCCTTCATGGTGGACCATGTTTGGGGCAGCTGTAGCCCAGGCAGTAGGCTACTTGGTGTCTCTCCTGGCTAGTCTGTGATCACATTCTCAGAAATTCAGCTCGTACCTGTCTACTTCCTGTCACCTCCCCACTCTGAGTAAGCTTCCCTTACCTCTCTCCTGGATGACCATAGCCCCTAACTGCTGTCCCTTCCCCTGAACTTGACCCCTCCCATCCAGTCTCCCAACAGTGCCCCAGGTCGTCTTACAGACGCACACGGGGCCATCTCAGTTCCTGCCAGCTTCCTGTGATGTTCACGACTGAATCGAACCTTCTTCCAGTGGGTCCCGCCCTGCTGCACCCCCTTTCTTCCATCTCATCTCTAATGCTCACTAGCCTCTAGCCACAGTCGCCTCCTTCCTGTTTCTGGAACTTTCCAAGCTCTTCCGTGCCTCTGGAATCCCCTCTGCCTGGAGTGCCCTCCCTCCTCCTCCTCTTCACAAGATGACTTCATTCCCAGGTGAGGGGTTGGGGGTTGGAAGATGGACGATTTGGCCCTAGCCAGTTTGGCTCAGTGGTTAGAGCATCGGCCTGCGGACCAGAGAGTCCCAGGTTCGGTTCCTGCTAAGGGCATGTACCTTGGTTGCAGTTTATTCCTGGCCCTGGTTGGGTCGTGCGGGTGGCAACAACTCGATGTGTCCCTTTCACTTCGATGTTTCTCTCTCTCTCTCTCTCTCTCTCTCTCTCTCTCTCTCCCTCCCTCCCTTCCTCCCTCCCTCCCTCCTACTCTATCTGAACAAAATATGGAAAAATGTCCTCGGGTGAGGATTAGAAAAAGAAAGGAAAAAAAAAGGAAGATGGACGATTTGTAACCTTGTGTTAATGCATTCTCAGAAACCTGGCCCACCCAGGTGCATTAAGTGCTTTATTTGCATGTGAAGGAGGGTTTGTTATCTTTTGGCTTCGAAGTCTCTTCCCATAAAAAGTGAGAGACAAAGCTATGGTGTATGGTCTGCAGAAATACCATCTCAAGGAAATAATGTACATAAATCCACTTGTAACCTGGGGGTACCAATCTGCAAATAAATGGAACTGCGTCCAAAGATCTGGAGCATTTGCTCCCTTGCAAAGCTCCCCCTCACTCTAAGCAGCATGTGCTTGTAGTTTCATTGTGTTGCACCTATCCCAGCAGGCCGAGAGATGGCACTCGGGGTCTGTGCTCACCCCGAAAGGCCTGCCCTGACCACCTGTTTGAATAGCCTCCCCCCAGGCTGGTTGACATCATCACATCAGCCAGTTTACTTTTGTCACAGCGTGGGTCCCACCTGATGTCCTCGCATCATTGACGCTGGTGAGCGACCTCCACCGGCCTGTGAGCTCCATGAGGGCAGGGACTTGGTGTGGGTCACCTCCGCATCCATCCACAGTCCCTGGCCCCATGCCTGGCACTGCGGTCCTTCAGTTGATGTTTGATGACGAGTGAGTGAGTCCCCTAGGGCCAAGCGAGGCACACAAGGCTGACGGCATGGCTTTCCCTGGATGAGGTTGGATGAGGGCGGGGGTGACACTGTGGGCACCTTGAAGGCCTCCTGGGCCATGTCTACTACCTGCCCAGAGCTGCACCCAGGGTGTTGTTACAGGATACCTGGAGGCTCTCCCACCGGAAGTCCCCAGCACACTAGCACTCTTCGTTTAAAAAAAGGAAGAAAAGGTATTTGTGTGCAAGGCCACTCGTCTTGTAGCACCTGCACATAAATCTCCTAATGGATGGTGCGCTGACGCCTTCCAGGAGCCAAAGTCAGTGTGTCTCCATACATCCAAGCTGGCCTCGGCGCTGGCACCGGCAAACGGAGGGCCTTTGCTTTTGCGTGGGGCCTGGCTGGTGCCTGGGTGGGGCAGGCAAGGTGGGAGGACTCCAGGAACCCCCGGGTGGGCCAGACCTGTCCCCCTTCTCGGTTCCTCACACCTACCTCCCAGACACCACCTTGGCTGGAGGGACCATGTGGCAAAGCCCCACCTCATCCTTCAGAGCCCAGCTCAGACGCTTCCTGCCCTTGAAACACTTCCTGGAGTGGCCCGTTCACTTCCTGTATCCATATGTATCCATGTGTATCCATATGTATCCATGTGTATCCATGTGTCTCCATATGTATCCATGTGTCTCCATATGTATCCATGTGTCTCCATATGTGTCCATGTGTCTCCATATGTATCCATGTGTATCCATGTGTCTCCATGTGTATCCATGTGTCTCCATATGTATCCATGTGTCTCCGTATGTGTCCATGTGTCTCCATATGTATCCATGTGTCTCCATGTGTCTCCATGTGTATCCATATGTATCCATATGTATCCATGTGTCTCCATATGTATCCATGTGTCTCCATATGTGTCCATGTGTCTCCATGTGTCTCTACTGATCTCTGTTCTGGGTCCAGCTCTTTTTAACATTAACTAGTTTAGTCACTGCAGTTCCCTCCCAGTCTTCTCATCCCTGCTCCCCGCTGCCTTAGCAGGGGAGGCTTTTTCCCTCCCCGGAAGTGGGGTGGGGTGAGAGGGTGGAGCCTGTGGCTTTCCCGGTCCACTGTCATCCGAGAGCAAACACCCTCCTTGAGAGCGGGCGGCATTGGCAGGCTGCGGAGAGTGTCCCTTCCTCTGGGACGACCTAAGGTCTCACCTAGGAGCAGTGGGATTGGAGCTAAACTGCGGGAGGTCAATAGGACGTCGGCAGGTCAAAGCGGGGAGAAAACTTCCGAAATGAGGCACATCAGGGACAGGAGACCAAGCCTCAGGTGGCGAGGACCGTCCTGCTGCGGGCAAACGGCGCTGACTCCGCGGAGCTGAGTGGCTCAGAGACTGAGGGACGAGGCTCTAAAGCCACGAGAGCCACTGTGCTTGCGGTGGTGTCTTAACTTGGATGTCATCATTGCCCCGTAGGGAGAAAAATTATGTTTAAATAGAATTTCTCCCCAAGAAAAGAGATTAAACCACGAGGAATACAGTTTCATCGAGCAGGGTTGAGCTTTGGGGAGCCACGGTGACTTGTAACCTCTAAGAGTTTTCACCTCCTGAGACCTGGGGCCCCGCCCTGTGAGGAGGGGGCGGGAGCTACAGGGCAGATCTGCTTGCAGGCTGCCCATCGGGCTGCCCATCAGAGTCCCAGGGAGTTCTCAGCACCTCTCTGACCTGGCCTCCCCGCAGACCATTTACACGAGAATCGAGAATCCTTGAGGGGCTGGGCCGGGATGACGAGGGTTTTAGGAAGGTCTGCAGGTGCCTGAACTGTGCAGCCAGGACTGGGAACTCGGGGCCGGAGCCAGGCTCAGGCACGAGAAGCCAGGCCCGGCCCCTCACGCCTCCCTCTCTGCTCCTGGTTCTCAGCCTCCTCCTCAGACGCCCCTTCTCGTGCCGGTCCCTGGAAACAGGACTCCAGCGACCACCTCCCAGGCCAAAGCCAGCCCAGTGCTTGTTTCTGTAAATCCAGGTTTATCGGAACAGACAGACATTTGGCGACGCGTTGTCTGTGGCTACACTGGGCGACAGCGCAGAGCCGAGTGGCTCCCACGAAGCAGACTGTTTCCTGTCCGACTCCTCGTGGGGAAGGCCGCTGCCCCCGCTTAAAGGGCCTGTGTTTTGCCCTGGCCGGTTTGGCTCAGCGGTAGAGCATCAGCCCATGGACCAATGAGTCCCGGGTTCGATTCCAGCCAAGGGCACATACCTAGGCTGCGGTTTGTCCCCCGCCCTGGTTGGGGTCGTGCGGGAGGCAACCAGTCCATGTGCCCCTCTCATGTTGATGTTTCTCTCTCTCTCTCTCCCTTTCTCTCCTTCTCTGTCTACCAGAAGATAAATGGAGACATATCCTTCGGTGAGGATAAAACAATATAAAAAATAAATAAAGTGCTTGTGTTTCCCAGGGCTAGAGCCCGTTTTATTTGCTCTCCTTGCGTTCTCTGGCAATAATCTCACCCATTCTGGGTCTCAGTTGCGATCTGGGTGTACAAGGCTCTCACACTCCTAGGCTGCAGGAGAGTGTTTGGGGACATAAACCAAGTATCCCCCAACCTCCATATTTTCTTCTTGTCTGTTCTCCCCCCCACCCCCCAGCAGCAGCACTCGCTGCCCCAGAGGGTGGATGACAGGAGAAGAGAAAGGACTTGCGGATTTCCAAAGCCTGGGCTTGGAATTAAGAGAGGGGACTTTGGCATTTTGCAAACCTGGGCCTAAGGGACCTGTGCGCCCCAAAGACCGGGCATGTGAGAACAGAGTAAGAGCAGGCTTTGCTCCTTCAGCAGGGCCAGGGCCCGAAGCATGATGCTCACACATATCAAGAACACCCCCTCCCCCCTCCCCACCCCCAGGCCAGGTCCCGGACCCAGAGGTCAGGGAGGCCCCTGGCAGGTGTGGAGAACCCAGGAGTGTGGAGCGGCTGTGTTACCCTCATTCACACCCTAAGATGGAGGCTACTGCCATCCAGGCCGCGTCCTTCCTGCAGATATGACTTCTCTGTGCCCTCGTTTAGCTCTGGGTCCCGGGAATTCCTGCGGGTGCTGGTGCCCTGCCCCGAGGCACTTCAACGAGCGTGGGGCCTGTGCCAGGCAGCGGGCTGTGCTGGCTTTTCCTGAAATCTGCAGCTGGGGTCTCCTGCTCCCTCTTGCTCGCCGCCCTGTGTTTGCAGCCCTTCCGCCAGATTGGATTCTGGAAGCTCAGCCCTTTCCTGCTTTTAGGACAACAGACTCACATGGTTATCAGGTCCTTCAGCAACCTGTCTGCTTTCATCCCTTCCTACCTCTGCAGCCTGACGTGACACCACCCTCCCTGCCGTTCTACGCGTCGGACACCCCGGACTTCTCACAGTCCTCCAGTGTGCCTGCTCCGCCCACCACAGGGCCTTTGCGTGTGCCGCTCCGTCTGCCTGCAGTGCTCGCTCGCTCCAAGTCAGCGCCTGCCGTGCTCGCGCCTGAGCGCAGCTGTTCTTCACAGACGCCCTCCCCGGCCTCACGCTCCAGGTGCACACGCTCGCTGGCTGCTTCCTTCCCCGCGCTGCTCAGAGACGCAGGTCCCTTCGTCTGCGATGGTCACTTTACGCGCCTCCCCGTTTGGTACAGATAGTGGCTCACTGAGCTAGCTCAGTTCCTTGAGTAAGTGCTCCACACACTTGTGGAAAGAAGGAAAGAAGGAGAGAAAGGAGAAAGGGGAAGAGGAAGGAAGGAAGGCTGGCTGGCTGGCTAAGTGGCTCACCGATGTCACAGTGAGTCGGGTTGAACTGGAGCGTACCCCTGGTCTTCCGCCTCCACACACCCGTGCTTTCCTCGCAGCAACAGCTGCCTCCTGCCTCCCGCGCTGTGGTCTCTGGCCAGGCCCTCCCTGCCTCAGGCCCTGCGTCTCCACTGCGGCTGCTCCAGATGGCACCCGAGAGCGTCACGGATCCTGTCTGCACTCTGCGTTTCCCTTTGGATCGCGTGTTTATTGCAGATGACACCTGATTTAATCGTTTTCATCAACAAATTGAATGTATTCCCCCAGGCAGTTTTAACGAAAAGGATGCAATTTTCTGAACATCTAATAATCGAGGGAAGGCTGAATGGGACCTTGAGCCTGGGAGAGTGACCCCCCCTCTCCACACCCAGGTGCGCGGCGGTGACGTTGCTGTTCGGTCCCAGCTCTGCTGGCCTGGGGCGCTCAGGCTCCCCCGCTCCTTGGGTTACTATCGAATTTGCGGCAGGGTCCCGGCGGCCCCGCTCTGCCCAGCCTCGCCGTCTAGCCGGTCACTGACGCGTTCAGCTGTGTGCACAGTCAGATCGGAGTTCGGGGGGCTGTGGCCCCTCTCTCACCCTCTGCCCTGGAGGGGAAGGTAGTCTACAGAGACGATCGGACTGCCCAGCTCTGAGCCTGCCGCCTGCCCGTACTGTGACCTTGAGCAGGTGCTGTACTCTCTGAACTTGCGATCCCGCATCTGGGAAGGGGCTGACACGGTCTGCCTCGGAGTGGTTGTGGTGACTGCATGGGTACTGCTGCGGGCCGAGTGCCCGTCCTCCCGAAGGCACACCCCGAAACCCAGCTCCCACAGTGACGCGGTGAGGAGGTGGGGCTTTGGGAGGTGATTGGGTCACAGGACGGATCCCTCGTGAATGGGGGGCTCAGTGCCTTGTGAAAGGGACGACAGTTCCTTTGTCCCTCCCACCACGTGAGGACGCAGCTAGAGGACAGCCGTCTGAGTCAGGAGGCGGGCTGCCCCCGGCCAGGGCCTCTGTCCGCCTCTTGAGCTCAGCTTCCCGGGGCTGGGCTGTGAGAAGTACGCTCCTGCGGGCGGTAAGCCCGTCTGTGCTGTTGGCCGCAGTCTGAACGGAGAGACCCCGAGGGTGAGGGGCGCCTGGCCCAAAGCACGCGTGCTGTGCACTCCCTCCGCGTCATTGTCAAGGAGGCACCATGTGTCGGGCACGTGGTCACTCACCAGGTGACCTGGGCGACCGTGGGCATCCAGCTCGTGCCTCAGCTTTCTCGTCTGCACGAGGTGCTTCATCCCTGCGTCTCTCCTTCGGTAAAGTGGTGAGATGATCCGCTCAGGAAGCAGCCGTGCAGCCGTTTTGAGGTCCGCGCCCCAGAAGCACCCGCTCTTCTCAGCGACTTTCTGTGGCTACCTGATCATTTTGGCTGATCCAGAAAAGCGTCTTCCACAGCCCTTTGAATGGCATCCCTGAGGCCATAAAATCACACATTCTATTGTAATTCCACTCAAGGGACCTGACTGATTGCCCCGAGTGTCCCAGACACATTAGTGTGCTTCTCGGTCATTGGAACAGAAATCAGTCAGTGGCCCCTGGAGCATTAAGTAGGGATAAGAGGTGGAGAAATCACGCTTCCACTTCATAGAGGACTTCATCGTGTCCCCCAACAAGCGGCAGTCAGGGGACATCTGCCGTGGCGTGACTCCAGAAGGCCACAGAGGTGGCCCTGCCTGAGCGTGACCATCGGCAGAGTTCATGTGTCAGAGTTCATGTCAGGGGGTCGCCGTTCGGCTGCCGGTCACTCCCTCTGCCCCGCGCAGAAGCTGCTTGATTTCTGGGAGTTTCCCAGGGGCTCCCAGGCTCTCGGGGACAATCCTCAGGGGTCCCTCTGCCTCAGCTCGAGTGGACATGGCCCCGTGGGTCAGCCCTGAGAACTGCTGTGGGAACAGGAGCTTCCGCTGTGGGCAGGTGCGCGGCGCCGTCCAGAGCCCACGTGGTCCCACGCGTCCCCAGAGCCGCGGCGTCCGGGTGGGTTTCCCCGCGCCGGGCTGGCTGGAGCCACCGCCTGGCACGTGCCGTCCCATTGAGCTCTCACACGTTCACAGCAACCCGAGGAAGTAGCTGTGTCTATTACTCCTGTTTACAAAGAGGGAAACGGAGCCCGGAGAGGCGAAGGGACTTGTCATCATCCCTCAGTCTGGATTCCAGCCCGGCTGCCTCCGACTCCAGGCTCCTGGCTTCTGTTTCCTGCATCACACCACTGGTTCGGCCAGGGCCTTCCGCCTCCTGCCGGCGCACCGAGCGCACCTGTTGGCATGATGCCAGGCCTGTGTGCACGCTCCCGTGACCAGGTGTGTTGTCACCCAGCCCCGTTAGCTCGTCCCCCTGGAAGACACGGAGGATGAGATCCTGCTTGATTCTACTTCTTTCTTTAAAATCCTCACCTGAGGATACTTTTTCCATGTATCTTTAGTCAGAGTGGGAGGGAAAGAGAGAGAGAGAGAAACAGAGACCGAGACATTGACTGGTTGCCTCCAGCATGACCCTGACCAGGAACCAAACCACAACCAAGGTACGTGCCCTTGACCGGAATTGAACCCGAGACCGGTCTGTGGGCCAACGCTCTAACCACGGACCAGGGCCGATTCCACTTCTACAAAAACGCTGGTACCAGGGCCAGCTCCGGGCAGTCACCGTCGGTGCTGAGATCGGCTGCGGAGCTCAGTTGGTTTGGAGTCTGCAGCTAAGGTGTGAGACGGAGAGGGACTGGGCTCCTTCCGTAAACAGCGCCTGGCTTCTGTCTCTGCTTCTCCGGGGAAGGTTACTCTTCAGCCCTCTCTCGACAGGGCCAGGGGAACATCGAGGTCTTGCCTTTGAGAGGTCATTCCAGGCTTGGAGGAATCCGTTTTTGCTGTGTATTAATTAATTTGCTCATTAATTCATTTCACACATGGGTACTAGGGCCCCAAACTTGCTATGATGGGAGGACAGAGGTTAATTAAGCATTATTCTTGTCCTTTCCTGGTTATATTTCTGGATCACTTCGTTTTCACCGTGATCTTAGTCTAGCTCTATCTGCTGCTGAGCTAGGTGACAGGTCAGAGGTCGCCCAGAGAGCCAGTGACACGTAGGGTCTGAGTCCAGATGCTCCACCACAATTCCCAGGTTCCTGTACCTCACGTCTGTGTGTGTTTTGCTTCTACGCCAGAACTGTTCTCATTTTTAGATTAAAAAAAAAAATGAACTGATGATTTCATTTTGGAGAACAGCAGCAGCTATTATCCCTAATTTATCCCCCCCCCCCCAATCCGTTTCCCATGGCTGATTTCCTGAGGCCGGGTGGGGGCCGGGGGCCGACTCAGAGACGGACAGGATGAAATCTGCTCACACTGTCCTGGAGCCCGGTGGGGGGGGGGGTGGGGGGGGGGGCAGGGGCACGCACAGCACTGTGGGAGCACAGAGGGGCTCGGTGGAGGACGGGCAGTCCGCTGAGCTCCGGAGGGAGGCAGGTGGGCTAGGCCGGGGCGGAGGAGCTGAGGTTGGGGAACAGCAGATACGGGGTGCGGAAGTTCGAGAGAAGGCGCCCGATCGAGGAACTAACTCCAGTTCACCTTGATCTGCCTGGAGCAGAGCCCCGGGCGGGGAAAGGAGGTTGCAAAGGGCCTCCTGTCCCTTCAGGAAAAGAAGACGCTTTCAAGGGCTTTAAACAGAGGAGGGTCAAAATGGGCTGTTTTAGAAAAATCACCCTGGTGACAGTACGGAGAGGGCTCGAAGGTGAGTGTGAGGGAGGAAGGGGAAGGAGCTAGTTCAAGGTGAGCAGCACCTGTGTGTCAGGCCGCCTGAGGCCCTCCCCGTTGTCCCCTCCCCTGACCAGCGGCATTTGCAGACATCACCTGAGACCCTGGTACTCGTCAGTGTCCTGTGAGGGCGTCTTCCCCTCCTTCAACACCCGGGGCTGCTCCCTACAGGCCCTGGGGCACTGGGAAGGCCCGAGTACCACCACCTGCGGGGCAGGCGCTCCCCTGCGGGGTGCTAGGGGCGGGCTTAACAGACCGGTAGGTCTCTGGATGAGGGCTGTGGGCTGGGGGGGGGGACCTTTGTGAGCAGGGAGTCACCATGTCTAACCCACAGCTCGTGTTCAATTTATATACATTTTCTTCTTTCCCGGGGGCCCTCGATTCATCCATGCTTGATTAATTGAAGTCATTAGCGATCAATACTGGTTCATGTTTATTAAGTGCTGTGCTGTGTGGACATGCCGAAAAGTCATGTTCCTGCCGGGCTTGCCTTGGGGCGTTGTTGGTTCCATAGGGTGTTACTACAGTCCAGGGTCCTCGTCAGGTATGTTTGGGGGAATGTGGGGATCCGACTCCATGACCAGTGACGGTGAAAACCGTGCTCTGACTCACTGCACCAGGTAGGTTTGAGGGGGTCGGAGGGGTCTCTGCTGGACGGGAGGCCTGCTCCCCAGCCCGTGCTCCGTCACCCCACCCTGTACAGAGGGAACTACTCTAGGCTGGTGTTTCAGCCAGGGGTGTCGAGATTGGCATCATGACAGCAAACCCATTGCAGACCAGGTGCTTCTCTCTCCAGTTCTGGATGGCAGCCCCTGAGGGAAGGGACAGGCATCTCTGACGATTTGCAAGGCCTGGGGTATCTCTGGACGTAGAATGGTCCTGTCACACCAACGTCCC